TCATATTTTCTATTTAGTAAGCAATTTAAGATAATATTTCTTAAATGAAGATAACCTGAAACCTACTAGCATTGGTTAATAAATAAACAAATAAATAAATAAGAAAACTCACGCAAAAAAAATTAATTTAAATTTAATTTATTTAATCAATCAAGAAATTAGTATCAAAGTGTGCGTTGATATTTATCTATTGCTTTGTTAAAGCATTTTGTTTGGCAGTATTGCTTATACTCTATTGAAATTTCAACGCGTAGGCTTCCAGGCTCGAGCGAATAAAAATTTATAGCATTGAAATTATTTTTGTGATTTTATCTTGAAATTAACCGTGCAGATAGCTAAATTATAAATTCAATAATTATTGTAGCTGAAGTTCAATTTCGATATGGCAAAGGCGCCGTGCTGTTGGGCATCCAATGAGATGGACAGGGACAAGGAGAACTACATACGCTGTTCGACAAGACAGAAGCCTAACGATAAGGATACCGACAGCAATAAAAAGGGTAAAAAGGACAAAGGTATGTGCTGCGGCCCAGCATTTCGACTGCAAATGGCCAAGGACGCTGAAAGAGATCTGAACCAGGAAATCGACGAACAGTGTGGCCCTTCGAAGGCCAAGGGCAAGAAAAAGCCCAAGCCCAAGAAGGAGTTTTTCCGCTGCTTCACAGCGAACATGATCTGCATGAAGCTGAACATGCCCGGACGGGACTTTGAGTGCCCCAATATGTTAAAGATAACTGCCAGCATATGCAAGGGTTGCAAGCCGGTCATGTGTGCCAATCGCATTAATGTTAACTGCATGCCCTGCGAGCCGAGTGCACGATTCTCAATGCTGGCCGAGTGTCTGGACAAGGAGCTATCAGAGGGCATCACTCTGGTCGTCTCCTACATGAAGAAAGAGATCGGTGAGCGGAAAATCGAAACGCACTTTTAGCATACACTTTTCCCATTCAAAATTGTCCCATATGAAGTATACTCTTCTAAGGTTGAACTGATTGTCCGTATAAACATGACGATCTCGGCTAGAAATAGGTTATCTATAAGAAATTTTTATATATATTGAAACACTTCAATAGCAGGAGCTTACACTCTTTAATTTCCTTATAATCGATAAAAATCGATTTCCAGCATATAATAAGACAAAAGACACTTAGGATCCGAAAATAATTAGAATAATTGAAAATGTTAGCCGGGTTACATCCTGTCAAGCACTTTTGACTAGAGCAATTTGTTTTGATCCCCCAGGTCGTGGATGCTATGTCATGCCGGACTCGGTCATACGCCGGATAACTGACACATTCCAGGAGGTCGTCCACACCGCCGAAGTGGAGCTGACATGCAAAGGCTGTACTGTGGGAATGTGCACGGTACGCCTTTCGATGACCATGCGTTGTCAGAACATCGATGAGTAAGTAAGCTCCACGGCTGGAGCCTGGGGCCGATAGCGCCTGAATTTCAATAGAGTAATGGTCACGGACATGGACCTTTGCAGCGACAGCGACGACGATGGCGGAGACGACTGTTGTGGCGATATGTTTGGGGACACCTCTCAAAGCTTTCCCACCTCCTCCGATCCGTGCCAGGGATTCTATGGCATTGACGAACAGTCCGGTGATGCGTCTCCCTTTTGTCGAACTTCCAGCAACAACAGGTTGAGATGTGAGGCCGGTGGCGAGGTGAGTAGCTGCATTCGCTCCTGGTCATAAGTTGACAGTTCCAAGCGGTTCCAGTTGAAGCCCCGACTGATCGATGTGGCAGGACCCTATAACATCTACTCCTGCGCTAAATCGGACGATGGCTGCTTAAAAATAGATGCATCCCCTGGACCTGGCGGCCAGTTCTCGTTTAGTGCGCGATCCCATTTGGGCGAGGGCAACACGAATCGAATGTGCCCACCGACATCGGCGCCGGAATTGAAACAGATGGGCATGAAAAGGGGACACGAGTGTCCCATGTGCCACGAGGATGTGTCCTGGCTGCCAAAGATTGCAGCCTGTCCACATTGCGGCTACAAGCCGCTGCCCCAGTTCGAGGAGAAGGATTACGATGAGACGGCGACAGCAAAGGACATACTCGACGACTTCTTTCAGCACATTGGCAGCGAATCAAAGAGTTTGGATTTGGGCTCTTCCAGCGGCTGTTCAAAGACCTGCAACAACCAAGCCTCGGATGTCAAGACCGAGGAAGCGTTCGAAACGATTGTCCATGATTATAAATCACTAAAGCAGAGCATCAAGAAATGCAAAAGTGCACAGCCATGTACCAGCTCATCCAAGCGATCGCAGAAAAAACAGCAAACCAATTTGGTCAGTATCTTCACGGAGATGAAGAAGTTGTTCGATGATGGCTGCGATGAAGCGGATAAAAATGCAAAAATTAAGGAAATCTGCGAAGACGCCTGCAAACTGGCCAAGGTCACAAAGAATCGTCGAATCAGTAATTCCAACTCGAAAATGTCAGAGCCCTGTGGCGCGCCCAAAGTGCGCAAGAGGCGCAAAATGGCGCACAAGTTGAACGTCAAGTCTAGAGTCTATGCACCCATGGAGCCACTCACTCATCCACGACAAGGCCATGTCCACTGTCACGATGACGAGCGCAAGGTGCCCGCCCACATGGGCTGGTTGTGGACGCACAATCCGTTGGCTCAGCGGCCCGGTTGGCGTCCCGGTGCGATACGCCGTTCCATTCGCGAGTTGATGGGCTACTTCCTGAAGGACTTTCCCGTGGATAGCATACCAATCTCAAAGTATATGTCGTATCACAAGCATAAGAAACTGGCACCACATGATAGGGAGCAGAAGCCAGAGGATCTGGTGCAGGTGCCGACGCTGCATATTGAAAAAAAGAACGACGAGTATCTTATTACGCTGCGTCCGCTGAAGGATCCGGATACGTTAAAGCGTGCCGCCAATCCCTATGCGAACATGAAGCCTGTGCAGTTCCGCATCGTCAAGAATCCGCTTCTGAAGCAGGTGAGGGAAATGAAGCGCTGCCTCAAGAACATGGGCTTCAGCAAGTGCAAGTGCCACAGGCCCGTGATGCAGTGCTTCTGCCGTAGCTTCATTGACAAGAAGCAGCTAGTCGATGAGGTACAGCGCCAGTGCCACATGCGCAACATGCCCCACTGTGAGAACGAGCTGGTCCTCTCAGACACCACCGACAGCGAGGCGGAATTTGATTTTGGTGTAACGCCGCCAGCGGGCCTTATGCATCCGGAACGTCTGAAGACGGTCGATGTGACCAATACGGAGACGCAGTATAATGAAAATGACTGGGCCATGCCCACCATGTATCCACATCCGCCCAATCCCAATGTGCAGTACGGTGGCTGCGTTGTTGGCGAGCGTAAGGGTAAATTTTCTTGGATCTTTGGCAAGGGCTACGTGCATCGGACGCCAAAGCCTCCAAAGATGCGCAATCTGCCCAAGAAAAAACCAAAGAAGAGACTTCCCGGTTCGCCCAAGCCCCGCGAAAAAGGCGGTTACAATAGCGACGTACAGCCAAAGTATTTCCCAGAAAGTGCGAGCAACGAGAATCAGCCATATGGGGATCGCCTGCAGCGCCTGAACCGAGCTGCCCATCCACCGACAGCCATGCAGTTCCAGCAGCTCCAATCGCGAGTTTCTCTCGACTCACGAAAGGTGCGATTTGCCAATTGTAAAAGCGAAAGGTTCACTACGTAGTCCATCGAAATTAATTTATTTTTCAATCTTTTTACTTTTTAATTCAGAAAATATTCTATTTCGTATTTCACACAATAAATATCGCACTTTTTTACCCGAATGAAGTGTCATTTTTCTTGAAATTGCAAACATATTTCTGCATAGGAAGGAATAGCTTCGCGATATGAAAGCTGGCTAGAGTAATATAGTACAAATGCTTGTTGTCGTACATTGATGGTGGAAATTTTAGCTTCGGGCAGACGGTATTTCCGTGTTCAGCACAACTAAACATGTTAATTTGCACTTACACACAAATGCATAAACATGCGGTTCTGTGATTTCCATTTACAGAAAGGCGGAAGACGGGCTTTTATTTGCATATATCGCTGAAAGATCAATAGAAAGTCAGATATATTATTTTCCCAATATGTTGAGTGATAGCGATAGAATTTAATTTTTGTTTATTTGGTATTATAGAAGAACATAGTGAGTGGCCAGGGCCAAGTCGTATCTTTAAATTTCAAACATCAGTTTTTCACCCATTTTCCGCTTGCCAAAAAATATTTAAAAATCTCCTACTTCTTTGGGCACTGCATAGTGGATTTCAAGAACTATGAAAGTTGACCTTGCCAAAGCACCAAAAACCACACACGAAGTAACAACCCTATGTTGCTCAACTGTCATCGGTTGCATAAAATGTTGATTTATTGAAAATTACTGTTTACCTAACCTTTGGGTGGCTGTGATATAACAGTAAAATGTGCGGCAACAGATAAGTGCGTACACTTTGTGGCGCACACAAATTGCAAGCACTTGTCGTGCCACATGCCACACACATGCACACCCTCACAGCATAACGTTTTTCCAAGTAATAAATTAATAATTTTCGTTTGTCGCTCGTCGCGCTCTGTTGATGCCACCAACTGTTGCCGCTGAGCTGGCGGGTTTTGGCATGTTTTCTTAACCTTAAGCCGGCAGCTAAGCGAACGCAATCACTTGGCCTCTTGAAAAATTTGCATGTCAAAAACCGGCTAAGCTAATATGAGCCAACACTTCCCAAGACCCCCCACGCTCATTGAACCCCTTTCAGCTGCACCCTGCTGTAGAGCAGCAAAACTCCACTTAATTTTTACGCTTTAGTTTTAATGAATTTGTCGCACGGTATCTTGATGGCAGACGCAAGAGGCATGAAATTCACATGGCACTTACATGACATTACATACCGCATGACAATGGCACTGCAATTGGCAGGCGCTACAAAGAGCTAACCGGCTGCCAGCGCGGCGCTCAGTGGCAAGCGAAACTTGCAGCAAGCAGCACGTGCCCCAAGGCCTATCCAGAATGCGCCACAGTGTGGCCCTATGTCTGGTCCTGTTAAGCGTTTATTTGCAGCTGGCCCATGAGCACAGCGTTGCGGGCAGTTCCGCTGCCAACTACAACGACTACTACTACAACAATGCGAGCGTAAGGCAGCTGCGTTTCCACGATTTCGAGCCGCGACTCAAGGAGGACGACGAGGAGAGGGGCGAACGTGAAGCACGTGGCTTTCATTTCAGCGCCAGCGGCGAGGATGTCAGCGTAGAAATGGAGTTCATAGTGCCCTTTGTCAAAGTGCCCGCCAAGCGCAGCATGCAGCTTGCCCGCGATGCTGTCCAGGGTCTGCTCAATCTGCGCACCGGAGCCCTGCTCAACACGGCGGTCATTGTGGCCGCCGGCGCCATTATAGCCGGAATTGTGCGTCTGGTGCTGGCGCCGCTGGTCTTTACATCCATTAACAATGCCCAGGGCTATGGCTACAGTGGCAAGCAGTACGAGGAGCAGCCAACGGGCAGCAATACCATCAGCCGTGGCAGTGAGTAGCCTCCAGCTGATGACCATGTTCATCAGTTCTAATCCCACTCTTCGTATATCTCCATCTCTCTGCCTATGTCACTTCTTCTGCCAGTGCGTAGTCTGACCCAGGTGCTGGAATCGCAGCTGGACGAGCACAGCATCGATGTCTCTAGCTGTGCACAGCGCGCCATTTGCCACTACTTGCAACACAATGCGGCAAGGTCGCAGCGCCTCAACCTGAGCCCATCAAGTGCCGCCACGCTCATCAATGTACTGGCGAAGTGAGTAGCCTTTAGGTTCATGTCTTCTTCATGTCAGCTAATAGTTATCTGTAACACAGCTCACGCTGGCTGGACACCTATTTGAATGGCACCGCCGTATTTAGCGCCATTGATGTGGCACGCAGCAGCCGCAACTGTGGCCAAATTTATAGCAGCTGCAGCTGGCCGCAGCTTTCGGACAGCATATTGCAAAAATCTTGGCCAAATATGTTGCACTTTGTAAATGGATATCTATTTCCTTAGTTATCTAGTTATTAATTATTTATTTATTGTCTTACTGAATCAAAAAAAAAAAAGAAAACATTGCATATTCATTTCAAGCACACTTCGATTATTCACAAAACATTCTGGTTTTTTATTTTAAAATAAAATCCCATCAATTCATCGAGCTATGCTAAAAAAACCTTGCCTCAAAATCCATATTTATCGATATGTGGGAAATATGAGCAAAAATCGAACGATTTATAAGCTCATTCTATATATGGTATGTATATATTTTTGAATCTGATCGGACATTAAACAAAAAAGTAATAGTTGTTACTTTAATTTTTTTATAATAAAATAAATAATAGATCTATTTTTAATACGTACCAGTTTTTAAGTGGTCTCCGCCAAAACCAAAGCCACTGTCCCTTCTGTAGGTGTTCTAGTCGCCGTCCTCCATCATTGAAGCCGCCGTCTCCTCAACTGTTCAAACAGCCATCTCCTCCAATATTAAAGCCGATGCCGCCGCAAGTTTTATGCTCAAAATTATTGATAAAATTTTTCCCGTAATATATTGATTGCAAAGAAGCAAAAGTTAAATACAACGTTTATATAAGTTGCGTGAATTAAAAAAAAAAAAAAAAAACGTTTGTTGATTTTCTTTTACATGGAATGATGGATTTTGTAAAACCATATCAAATAGATTTTCACAAAAAAAAAATTGAATTACAACATCAATTTCAAGTATGAATTAAATTCCAAGCCTTATCAAACACATTATGATGCCAATTTCAAACTGTTTAGTTCAGATTGATAATATGCGGTAAGTGAATCTTTAAATTATAGGTAAAGCTTTCGTAGAGATAAAATATCAAAGCTAGTTCCAATTGACTGTTTAGGAATGATATTCACTTTTGAAAACTTTGTATGCCAAGTTTAATGGTCGTAAAGAATAAATGCGGCTGCGATCAAGCAAGCTTCTAAACAACTTTTGTATTTAATTTGAAGAGAGTAATTTTTTGAATTACTCTCTTGGCGGAAATGCTGTATCAACTAAAAGTTGTGGGAATTTACGGCAGCCGAGCTTTAGGTTTAATGTAGTGCAAAACTTCCTCAATTGGTTCCTCAAAACAAAACGCTTTCGCACCTCAGCCCTGTTGGGGCTTATGTCACGGCTGCGCAACAGCCAACAGGCTGCAGCAGAAATTGAAGCAGCGGCGCAGTGCAAATTATCACAGCCAAGAGGCAACGAAGCGGCGAGCGGCAAATTTACTGGCGGCACGTAACTAACCAAGTCGCCAAGACACAACCGAAACGGAGTTTAAATCTGTGGCAGCTACACAACGCAGCAGACCTCTAGGCGGAAGTATGCAGCTCTTATATCTGACTATGGTTAGTCTTATCCTCGCCGGTGGCGTGGGCAGCAAGGAGGAGTCCAAGCAGTCCCAGCAGGAGAACGCTGGCTCCACAAGTGCAGCAGAGCACAAGCAGCAGAAGAACAATCAGGGAATACGTCTGATATCCTTTGACGCCGTTGACAAGGACATCGCCTTGGGTCTAAACTATCTGATGCCATTTGTGGAGGTGCCCGTTCAACGCAAACGAAACGCGCCACCTAAGGTAAAGTATCTCTTCGTAACTGCCTAGTTCCACTCGCAGAAAGAACTAAAAGTTATGCAATAAATTTGTAAAACTAAAATCAAAAACACCAAGTCAAATATTAATTGTCCAAAAGTCCACTGACACGGCTTAAAAGTTAATTTGCACATAGTACAGGAATTTTACACCAATCAATCGAGTGTTTTTTCCCAGCTTTGAGTCCTTTTTTGCAGCCCCTGGTTATTGTGAACTCCGCCGCTATCGTCAGCTGCAGCTTGGTGGCCGCGGGCGGCATTCTCGTGGGCCATTTGATACGCAGCCTGGGCCTGGAGACCATTGTGCCGGATGTCAAGTCTGAGGACTCTGCCAAGCACACAGCGCGTAGCCTGGTCGATGAGGAGCAGAGTTTCTTACAGCTGTTCGATAACTTTAAGCTGATTTATCGAAATGCCAGCGGCGATCGTGTGGGTAAGTTTGACAGCTGCATCCCAATCCAAGCGATTCCGTTGATTCCAACTGCCCTCCAGAGACTGCACTGCCCAGTCTTATGAGCACCATCGAGCGCACCTTTTTGGACAACGACGTTAATCTGCCCGTTTGCCTGCTCAAGTCAATTTGTGCGCTGACCCACAAGACGGGCGAGAAAGTGCGCAAAGGTCTAGCCTCGGACTTGGAGCTGATGTTCGATGGCGCCACCAGCTGGACCTGGCTGCTCTCCTGGCTGGAGCAGTCGCCGGTGCGCGAGGCCATCCAAGCGGGCCGCATAGCTTCCCCACATTACTGCCACATAAAATATCCACGCTGCAAGTGGACAGCGCCCGAGGAGCAACTGCTCGACCTTCTCCACAATAATGTGCAATTCAAATGAGATTAGGTAAGACTAAGTACATTATTGAGATGTTAAGAATCTAAGTAAAGATAACAATTATGTGATCAAATGTATGAGTATATGCAAATGTTAAAAAACAAATTGTGAAAGCAGCCCAGCTTTTAAATTAAAGTAAAATTGATTAAGTTACCTACTATTTTTTGGATGTTACTACATGTGCTGCCAATAAAAAAAATTATTAAGAAATAAGCATTCAAAGGCATTCAAATGGATTTACTTTCGTAAGTAACTGAAAATAATATTTGAAAAAATAAGGACAAATCTGCGGTTTTTTAAATTAAATATTTAAATATGAAGTCAACAGATTATTCTGGTTTAAATTATTCTTCCACATAGATATTTGGAGAATATTTAAATTGATTTACTGATAAATAAAATAAAAATTAAAATATTTACTTTCAAGTAGAAATTCAAAAGAAAAAGAAATTGATTGTTAAAAAAGTGTTTATCGATATTTAAAACAAATTGGATTATATTATTTCTTGTTATACTTTTCTCCAAAAGAAATTTCAAAGGAAAAAATATTTAGAATCACCTTCTAAATAATTCGATTGATTTTTTCAATGTAATTTAATTGTATTTCGCCAAGGCAAACAAATTCTGTTAAGAATATTTTCGAACAAAAGCGCAGTACATTTTTTAAGTATTTAATATACTCACCAAAAACATTGAAGACATTCTAAAAATTTGTGTGTACTCAAGAAATGTTGGCAAGTCGACCTTATTATGATTTGGAGACCATTATTCCATTAAGAGATCATTTCTTTGCGTGGCTTGCTCCAAAATCAGCTGTTTTCAAAAAATCCAACCAAATTCTTAATCGAATTAAAAACTATTAACTCGGCATCAATGAACGAATTCTAAATTTATTTAATCGATATTAGTAGCAAAACATAAATGTGAAGTACATAGAACAAAATCGAGTTTGAATAGCAAATTTGTTTAAAAAGAATTTCTAATTAAAAATATATGTGTCCGCTTTGTGAATAATACGTCCTTTTGAGTTAAAAGCTAAAGTTCATTACAAAAAAGTCATAGCAAGTCAAGTTGAAAGGGAAATCAAAGGACGCAAGTATTGAATTCCTGTTGAATTGTAGTTAATTTCTTTTTTTAAGATAATTGTTAACAGAAATGCACAAAATTGAAGATGGAATATCAAAATTAACTGAACTGACGAAATCTGTACGGCTTAATCAAACATATATTTTAACATTAAATTAGGGTGCATCATTTGCAAACATTGAACTTAAAACTAATGCATTTTTCAATAATTTTTCAACAGTTTTCGAAATGTTTCTTGTGTTACAATTTTTATAAAACTATTTCAAAATAATTTTCATTTTATTTTTTTTTTTTTTGTTTTTTCACAGCTTTTGCGTCTGAATTTTGATCGGATTTGAACCGACACCAAAAAGTAATTTTGAGACTTCAAGCAAAAACTATGAAAATGTTTTTTAATTTCCCTTTTGTTGTTTTTTTTTTTTTTTTCTTTTTTTTTATCCTGTTGCTTGTGTACGAATTTAACTTATTTCGGTAATGTTTTTATTTGTTTTATTTATTTTTTTTTTTTTGTGGTTTTTGGGTTTTTCTTCTCAACTTTTTTGTTGCATGTAGAAACATTACGACTAAATTACATACATGTATATTCATCTGTTCTAGGCAGTTAAAGTTGCTACAAAACTATTCAAAATATTTTTACCATTCCTGTTTTTGTGTGTGTCGTGCGGTTGTTTTTCGGAGCGCGGTCGTTGGCTACATTGATAATTTTCACATTTACGCAAGGCTCAAAAATGAATCTTTTATTTATGCTTTAATTTTACTTCTGTTAAATTTTCCATACCCACGCGCTGTAAATGCTAAAATAAGCAAAACCCAACTAGAAAACAAAATGATGCTTACGTAAATTAAAATGCAATGCTCCGCCTAATGATGGAGGCGTTTAGGGCATCTCCAGGTAGCTGAGCCCCGCGTCCAGTTGGCTGTTGGTGAACTCGAAGCTGTAGTCGTCATTGCATAGATCCATTAGGTAGGGTGTGCGCAGCAGCGGATTGCTGCTGTCTATGAAGGATATTGAAGACTTGCGACTGGTCGCATTGCTGCTAATTGTCTCCATCTGATCATTGATATCCTCCTCGCACTGCGGCGGCGGTGCTGGCGGCACTGAGGCAACATCCATGGGCGCTGCCTCGCGCTTATTTTGCAGCGACCTCCTGGCCATACCCGTCTCGACCAGGCTGATGTCATCGATGCCGCTGTCACTGGAGGCATCCGTGTCGCAGGCAGTCAGTGCCGGCGGCATGAAATCATCTAAAGAGGCCACCGAGCTGGCATCATTATCGCAACTGACGTTGGCGGCATCGCAGCTCGGAAAGACCGGCGACATCTGCAAGCTGGTGCCACTGATCAGTGGATTGTTGCGATAGTTGCGCAAAACCGTCGCTGTCGTCGTGTGGCTGGGCATCGTCATCGTATACTTGACAGCACTGCCCAATGCAAGGCTGGGCGTCACCACCTGGTCCAGAGAGTTGTCGTCAATGGTCATGGGCACGGCACGGTCATTCTGTATTATGTGGGGGGATGTGGAGAAAAGAACAACAAAAAGGGAGCAAGTTAGTCATATATTACATTTTAGGGAGTACCCTTTATCGAAATTTCCAAAAGAATTCGTATAATGGCATTAGGGTAATAATAAGAAGCAGTCGCTAGAGCTGGAGTGCCAGTTGAGCTTTTCCGATAATCCATTTCAATCAATAATTATCGATTACTTTTTTAAGGAAAAATTCGGTTGATGCTAAATGTTATGATACCATCGATAAGTTTCGATTTACGTTGTAATAAATTTTAAAATAAACTGATAAATTATTCGTGGCATTGTTTACAATTAAAAAGAAATCGATGAATGTATCGAATTATTTAACTTTAGTTTTTTGGCTTAACATTGAACATTTCGTATATTGGTAGTAAATGGAACGATTTTTTGTTGTTTTCTTATAATTAAGGTTGTTAATTTTAGGATCTTAAATTAAATTACAGTATGTGCATCATAAATTAATCTTAAATTAAGCAATTGACTACTCTAAAGCAGTCTTAAGTTAACCAGCCAACAATTAGCTTATTTAAGTACCTAATTCATATTCAGAGCGAAAACCGTGTGATTAGAGGAACCTGTCAGAAATCCAGCCTAAATGACAAATACAATTTGTTGTCTCAGCCGCAGAAGCACACAAATATTTAAAGTGACGAGAGACAACACAAAGGCAAGCCCAAATCCCCCTTTCCATAGCTCAGGAGGAGCACAAAGGAACAAGGGGAAACGCAGCAGCACTTGAGTCCATCAAGAAGTCGAGCGCCAAAAAGGAGGTCGCCGCAGCAGCTACTCGCTATAAATCATATTTTAATGATGGCCCAGCCGGAATTCGTAACAGTAATAGAAGACGACAAGGGGAGTTCAGACTTAAGGGTGGGGCTTGCGAATATGATTATGCTATATTTTGGTTACAAAACCTCCCCCCCACACACACACACACACACAAGGGCAGCGTCAAATGCCACAGAAAATCAAGCACATATCAATCTCCAAGTAAAGCTGAGGGCGCGTTTTCAATAATGAGCGCAAATGTTAAAGATAAAGTTGCCGAAAAAAGTGTGAGACTGGGCGGTTGGTTGGTTGGAGGTGCGGCGGGCGCGTTGCTTGCTACAAATATGGTCGAGGTTCAAGTACAGTTTATTGAACCGCACGAATATTTGCAATGCTTTCACAGCGCTAATTGCAACGCAGTTGGCCATCAATAAGCGGCAACAAAAGCGAAAGTGCTGTAAATTGATCGATGAGCAAATATGGGACCAGACAAAGGGCTCATGCATTTATGGAGGCAGGGCAGGATGTGGCAGCTGTCAGCCAAAACGGGCAACAGATATATATTGTGCCACAACAGCAACGCTCAAATCTGTGACACATTAACAGCTGCCTGGCCAGAGCAGAGCACGGATGCATAGATACAGAAACACAGATACAGATACAGAAACTGATAGAGACACAGATATAGATACACAGACACACAGATACAAATCACGGATACACAGACACTCATTCTTGTTGCTGCTCACTAAGGGGCGTAACGAATTTATAAAAAAAAAAAAGAAAAAATGTGCACAGCACGCGCCTACTGCCCTAGGGGCATGGCGCTTTCGGGCAGCCAACTTTCGATACTCTGGCAACGCTGCAATAAATGCCAAGCGCAATCTAATAGGTTTATTGTATGATATATTGTTTGGCGTGCCTCTATATTGGGGGCTTACAGACATAAGCATCGACATCGCATCGACATCGCATCGACCTAATATGCCACAATAATAAATTATTAAGGCCCAGACATGGCGCTGGCTTAAGCCAAACAGGCGCATTACAATAATTGTTTAGTTATCCTCAGGGTACTGCGGGGTAGGTCAACAAGAAAAAAAGATGTTACAATGCTCAAGTTAAACAACTCACGACTAGCTGATACCCTGCTAGGAGCTACATTTCGGAAACGGAGATAGGAAAATGAAATCGCAAATCAAATATTTAAACATCTAAATCGATAATTATCGAACGAAAAGCGGCAGCCCCAAGTCTAAAGTATATTTAATGTGCCTTTATTTATGACACGCAAAATGAAGGTTGATGTTCATTGCTTTGATTGTCAAAACATTGAATATGAAATCGATGAAAGTAGGAGATCATCTGTCCAAAGCAATTTAATTACAATAAAGTAATATAAACATAAGCCCGCGTAATAAAAGCTAATGTTCACAGCTTTAATTTTCAAGAAAAAATGGTTCAACCTTAAGCAATTGTGTTTAAAATCGATTCTAATAATTTGTACAATTCTAACATTTCTTAAAAACATTTGTGATTAAGTTAATCATCATAAAGTATTTAACAATCTTTATAATGGTTTAGGTGTTATAAATACCGGTAAAAAATAGATTAGAAATGGATCTGACTGAAACCTATTACAGCTTCTTCAGAGGGCAACTCGGAGGATTCGCAGAGACCTACCTTAGACTTTGACACCTTTCTAGCTAGTCAAAGCAAATGCTTACCTACTTTATGAGGTTTCATATAAAACCCAGAAACCATTTGCACATTATCACGCCCATTTTACAACTCATTTTTATTTGCTACAGGGTATGCCCCAAAAAATGCAGCTGCTGAGCTGTGCAGCTCTTTAAAGCAAAATTTAATAGGTTTTCATTGTAATTGTAATTTTCATTTTGGGCTTTTTATTACCAACGCCTCCAAGTTCACTGACATTACGTGCCCAAATGAAATGAGTCACTTGGGCGCCTCTTTAAATGCACAGCAGGGCGCAAAGTAATTAAAGCCGAAACTTTTCTGCTGGGCTCCCCCCTAAAAATGATGGCCTACATCTTGGCGCAGCGGAGGAGGAATAAGAGAGAGAAAGTAAAAGTTGTATTACGCCTCGCCATCTCAGGGCTTGGCAGCTGAGTCTTATTTGCTGTTTAAATTTTACTCAGTGGGCGTTTGACTTTTGCCACCCACGTTGCATGTTGCGCAATTCGTGTGGCAGGCTCCGGGGAATACGCACTTATCGCTGACATCGAACTGCGAGCCATGAGGCACGAGGCAAGCGCCACAACTGGAAATTGATTTTCTACGCTGGCATTTTGTCAATTTGGTGCCACGCACGAAAGGCTTGCCAAGGGCTTGTGCCACGCTCAAATATGCTTATCAAAATCAATAAGCAGCCAAGGCAACTGATTTGTCATTGAAGCGAGGAACAATGCGGCGTATACGTAATGAGCATTGCCGAAGCTCAGCTTGAGAACTGCTTGCAAAAATTTGTCAAATTAAATGTTTGTCACACATCGCAATATATAAAGCTTTAAATGTGTATCTCTGATAAGCGCACACATGCGTGCAATCGGTGTGTGCGTGTGCGTGAGTGTGTGTGCTTGTGTGTGTGCTTGTGAGTGTGCTTAGCATACTTAAGTGCGCAGCTTGTGGCTGAAAGCTGACGCCTAACAAAAGGACACTGTAAGTTTTTGACGAAGCCGATGATTAAATACCCTTGCACAAAAGAGACACAAGCACAAGAATCTTAATTATGGTTCGTAAAGAAGGATGCTTTTTTTTTATCAAACTTTGTATAAGGACTATAATGTTAAAAAGGTATAAAATAAAAGAAAATACCTTTAAATATATGTGAGGAACACAAATGAGCTCATCATATATAAAATGGATGTAAATAGTTATTTATAAGTATTAAGAAAAGACAAAAAAAGTTTTAAAATAAAAACCCAATTTGGACTCAATGTTCCTTTGGGAGTTATAAGTAATAGAAGTCTGAGCAAAATACGCTTTCGCCAATTTATGAAGACCAGTTTAGGTCTCACAAATGTTCACTTTTAATAAAATATAATGAAAAGTCTTTTCTATATTAAATCGAATTTTGACCGATTATTTCGGGTTTAAAAAGTTTCTGCTCGCGTGTAGAGAATATGTTTGGAGCTTTCGATTGATAAGCCCAGCTTCTATATGAAGCAAAATCAAAAGTCGTAATAATGAGATAATAAACGACTGAGTCAAACATAAATATGTACTACCAGAAGAAAATATGCAGCTATGCTTAGTGTGTTTTGCATAGACTGAAGACTGAAAGACTTGTTCGCTTGCAATTAGATGTAACTCTATAGACAGCCACCGTCATATGCTATATACTCCATACACTCGGTCTCCCACAAATAGAGATTACCTCCTTAAAGAAGGAAGAGAATGGCAACAGCTAATAAATGACCAGAAGAAGTTGGGCGATTCGTTTTGATAAGCCAAAACTGAAGTTGGGCAACTTGATTAGGCACAAAATAACAGGCAGGCAGCATCATTTATACCAATCAAAGATATTCATATAAATGGCCTAGCTTGGCCAGAGGCGGGGCGTGGCGTTGGGCGTTGGCAAATTAATCAAGTTTCGGCTCTCAATAAATATGCTGGCAGGCAAATACAATAATATTTATGCACATAAATCTAAAGAAGTCGAAGCTAGCGCTGTGAAAAGACCCCAAAGAGAAGTAGCCCAGTAGAAAAACACAATATTTCTTTCTTCCTTTTTTCCTTTAGCTAATTTTGAGTGCTTAGCTCAAAAGCTGGCGATTTGCTGGTGGTTGTTGTTATACTTTTATTTTTGCTAAAATATTTATTAAAAGTTTATTAAAATACTTTCATAATCCATATCCATATCGATATTCATATATCAGATATCATATACATATATCGTATTGTTGTTGACATTTTAGTTACTAAAACACACACACACACGTGCGCATATGTATACGTTTATATAATATAATATTGCATACTTTGCGGCGTTTATAAACTAATTTTTTTATTTTTCTTTTCCATTTATATGAAGTATTTTATATTCCATTTATTGGAGTCGAATTCAAGGCTAGTTAAATTTATGCTACGTTTTCTTTTACTATTCTCGTGTAAAATTTGACTTAGTTGGAGGTATTTTCCGGTTAGTGTTTAACGTAAGGAAAATCAAGAAAATAAAA